ATCCGCTTTGGTTTTTTCCACCAAATATTTATTAATCGTCTATATCACTTTAATTAATATCCGATTGAACCGTAAACGGCTTCGATTTTGGGAGATTCCTGTTTTACAAAGGAGAAACCCTTGTTATAATAAACAATTACAACGTATTGTTGCAGCAACAATACGATACTGACGATTCTCGTCTGAACCAAAACAACAAAACACGCAAGATACCGCGCATTTCCCGTTTCCCTCGAACAAACGCGCAACATAAATGAACATGTTTGTTGATACGTGGACCAAGTCCACATAGACCACGCCGAACGTTGCAAAACGTTTTGCCCGTTTAGTGTGGACTAGTGCTAAGCAATACCTTAAGCCACCCGGAATCCAGATTACAATAACATAATTCGGATTCGGATTCAACCTGTTTAATCCGGATTCTCAGATCTTGATTTTGGAGCCAATCCGTCAATCTGGATTGAGGATCATAATCCGGATTAGAACTTTCAATCCGAATTAAACGAATTGTACCGTTTGTATCAATCCGGATTTATAAAATATTCTTATTTTTATTGGGTTGATGTCAAACGTTTTCTCTATTATCATCTTTTGTGTCGTTATTTTTTTGTTTTGTAAATTAATTGTGTTTAATAATTATTTTGGTTGTGCAAAAAAAAACATAAAAATCATTACCTTTTAATATCATAATTTCTTTGATAATATAGGTAGGTATAAGAAAGCTATTTTTTTTCATTCGTCCATAACACATTTATGATCTGAAATTGTATATAGACACCGTAACATTTTTCTTTTGTCTTTTTTTTTCATTTTCTTTAACATTTAACACGATTATTTTGCCATTCTTTTAAATTGTCATAATAATTTGTCATTGACAAAATCATACATAATTATACTCACTGTAAAGATTATCTTGATCAACATTCCCGTCGATTTGTTTTTTATTGTTTTTCAAACGAATGTTAAACTTTTTTGAATGTCATACCATATTGCATTTTTTTTTCGTGTGTCCGTTTTTATTTACACACAAATAATAATATGGAAATAACGAGATTTAAAAAGAACCATCTCCTAAAAACGCGAAAAAAGGCGTTCCGTTCGAATTTCATCGGGACAACAGAATATGATGATCAAAAAAAGGTCAATGAAATCTCTATACTGATTTGCACAGGTATGATTAAAATTTTAACCGATCTAACGATTTCAGTACTATTCTACAGGTGTGACTATAGGCACATATTATAGACTCAATACGCATTCATACTACTTTAAAACTAATACGAATATTAAAAATTAATAATTTTAATAAAAAAAAAAATAAAAATGTTTTAATCATTTATTACTTACCTACTGATATTGATGTTACTAGCTTACTGGCTGTAAGTGTTCACTCTTTAGTATGTTAGTAAGTTTAATGGCTTATACTATACTATCAACTTTATTAGTGACACTATGGTACACCGTCGAGTAATTAAAGCGGCTCCAGTAGTGCGGCCGTGCGGGCTGTAGTTACACAGTTGACTATTATTCTACAATATATCGGTTATCGGCTTTCGTCTGAAAATATCGTCTGCGCCATCGAGCGAATTGAGCCTCGTTATCGCAATCGTGCAGCAATATAATACAGATTGTATGAGTATTGCATACATTACGTGCGGCTGACACAACGAAACAAAATGTTTATTGTATTATATTATAAAGCTTTAATCGGGACATTTTTGTCTCGTTTGAAAACGGACCGTTATTATTAATTATTACAAAAATATACTTTAAGGGGGCCCCCTGCATTATTCCGAAAATGGGGCCCGGGGAAAAATGGTCCCGTTGCTCCCCCCCCCTCTGAACGGCCCTTCGTTACCCTACAGTAGATATATAAAATAAATTACACTATTTTTAGTTCATTTTACATAAGAATCGATTTGTAGTCTACTTTTATATAAATTGAATTTTAATGTAGATCATAAAGATAAGTCATTCAATAATTCGGTTTAATTTTTTTTTTAAATTGTTTTAATATTGTTCGTAATATACTTTCAATAATAGAAATTTAACACTTGCGTACATTTTAAAAAGAGTACACAAAGTTAAACAGTCAATTTTAGATTCTGAATAGAGCGAGGAATGTATTGGTTTTATAATGATGTTTATTATTATTATCTGTGAACAACTTTTCTACCAGAAATCTTGCTCCGGTTTACAAGTATAGCACTTTTTCTGAAAGTAAATCTGACTGGGGAGGTACTTTAAGAAGGTGATTTTTTTGATTTTTTCAGGAGTTTTCCCAACGGAAAATAGGTACAATATTAAACAAATGTTATTAAAGAAAATGTTTAATGCACATGTAATTATTTGTCCGTAATATGACATGATATATTTTATATATTGTTGACAATGCAACACTACTAACTGAACTCCGCTCAGAATCGTTTTTTCGTTAGCAATAATATATCGTTGTTACAGATATATCTATGTATACCTTCCCAACGTCTTACCAATAACAGTGGCTACACCCATCATTATTATCCTAAGACAGCTTTTTTTATTCTTTTTTAATCGATTTATCTTTGATTTCATAACTTAATATTTTTTTTGCCTATTGACGCATGACATTATGTTTTTATTTTTTTATTTTTTTATTTGATTGTTATGTAATACTTTTTCATGCGCATACATTGTTTTCAACATGATAAGCAAATTAATAATATTGGTACAATTATATCACAGTCTATCGAAATACTTAATGCAGATAATTTGACTAAGTTTTTAAATAATACGAGTAGGTACCTATTCTATTATATACAATTATCAGGCTACCAGACCATTGTACAAATTTTCGTTTCTAGATTGGCCATTCCACGTCTGATCTAATTTGTTTATTTTATCATATTTTAATCAGTGATCGAATTATAAAAACAAAAGAAGATAGAGAATATAGAGCTCGCAGGCAGAAGCGTCGTTTCACATTTTTTCAAAGGATGCAAAACGAATATTGAAAATTCAGTTGTAAAGCCGGTCGTATTAATCACGTGCCACATAAAGGACAAAATGAATACATTTCCAAATAAAATCCCATTTTTCAATTATAACATACCTATTTATATTAATTATTGATAATACCTATGATAATCAGAAACCTATTTCAGTATATTATCTCAGGATAAGTATTTTAAATAAACATAAATTAATTGAATATGAAGAGAGGTAGGTATTAATACTCATTAATACTGTTAATATAAATTGCACAAACTACACTCAACAGGTTACAGGTACACAATATTATATTTTTTTCAATAGTAATTAATAAAAACAAAATTCACTGTTCTATTATATATTATTAATACAATAATGTATATTATATTATATTATTTTTGCTGTGTTTGTCTTCAGATACTAATCAAATTAATTTTGATTAAAAAAAAAAAATTGGACAACAATGAAATCGGTGCTAATCCATAAAGATTAAAAATATTAACCTTCAATTTCATATTTATCTATATATAATTATCGCTAAAGTATTGTGATAAAACCATAAGAAACTTATTTGTACATTTTATTACTAAATGATTGTACATATTATTCTGAAAATTCTATGAAATCATCTGCATTTACAATATATTTTAAATGTATTAAAAGAAATTCATGAGATGTATATTTGCATACCCTTGCATCCTGTAAATTTTGCAACTGCTCGCAAGTGTCTCTTATAATAATTGAACATTACCTGACCCGTGAGAGCCTTCTTCTCTTGCACCATTTAAAAAAAAAAAAACCCAATAATTCATAATTTAAAAAAAATAAAAACCAATAATACTCACGGTTAACTTTTTGCTAACATATTTATTTAAATTCTGTACCCCATCACACATGATGGGTCAAACGGTTATTGAATTGTTTAAAATAACTATTTAACGACAATTTAGGCGTTTTAAGTATAAAAGAAAAAGAGAGGAACATCGCACGATGGGTGGGCCCCTATTGTAGATGAGAAGTTGGAAAGATAAGATATAGAAGAGAATTTAATGTAAATTTGTACTCGACAATTAATTGCTAACGATTTTATTCACAAAGTAACTACCGAATACAAATTACGTAAGAAACTCGCAAAATTAAAATGTCTATAAATAATTCAAAAATGGCTAAAATGTTTTGAAAATTTTACCACGTCTACTATGAAAGGCAAATATACGTTTCCTTTCCGAATTTCAAGTTTCTAAGTATATTTATAACTGAATCGCAACAAAAAATAAAATTGATAATAATATATTTCGTACATTTTCCCCGGTTTTTCCTACTATTATGAAAACCATTTGTAAAATCAAAAAATGGCACCTCGAATACTACCCGGACCAGGCGTTACACTTGGTTAGGTTAGGTCTTTCAGAAAAGGTGCTACACTTGAAAATCGAAGTAAAATTTCTGGTAGAAAAATTATTCACAGAAAAAAATAAAAATAATCATCATTCTAAAACCAATACGTTCCTCGCTCTGTTCAGAATCTAAAACATTGCAGATAAACTGACAGACGAATATTATCTTTTATACGTATATAAAATTATATTTATATATATTTTTTTTTTTTAACATTTACAATAAAAATGTACGAGTTGACATTGTTTTTTATTTTCTTAAAATAACGATAATGTTCAGATTTTAGTTAAATATTACATATACGTAGTTATCATGCACAGGACAAAAATTTAATACAGGAAGTGTAATAATGATGTAATCGTTTATTTTATTTATTAGTTATATATAATTTATAAATCCGAAAGTGCCCCCTCTCCCCACGAGCAGACCCTTTATTGAGGAAATACCGATGAATACCCACAAGAAGAATATTTAAAAAAAAAATTGCGTTCATTACGAAATAAATATACACTTGTTCATTATGCTATACATATATGCACAACGTATAAAGATAAATGATAATATATATTTAGGTGTGTGTTTATTTTGTTTTCCCTCCAATCATAAAACCGCATTATTTAAAATTTCGTACACTTAACTGTTACCGGTAACAGGTGGGGTAGAGTATAAAATCAGTGTGTCGGAAGCGAGTGAAAGTAAAATATCGTCCACAGCTCACCGTAAACAAGTCGGTTCCCGCAAGTATCAGGTAATTTTATTATTTTTATTTATAAGTATATTTTAGACTGATTTTAATATATTTTTTGGCGTATTTTCACCGTATCAAATAAATTATAACTTAAAAAAAAAAAAAAACCATTATTAATTATTGAAATATCAGATTTTCGTAAGAATATAACCGATGAATTAAATTATTTTATTATATTTATTATATTTATATTCTAAATAGGTTAGGTTAGATTATTGTACAAATACGCATTGATACATATTGAGTCAATTGTCAATTGGTTAAGTTCGAACTTAGTTAAAATCTGAAAACATGTGAACTACATACATACTATACACACAAAAATTATTTGTTTAGATACCTTTTGAAAATACATTATTCAAGTACCTAATTCATTTCATACAGTGACAGATATCGTTTAATGTAGATAGGTGCAGGTAGGTAGGATAGCTATATACGTATAGGATTGTATAGAACACCTGCAGTAGGTTTTGTTTTGTTCAACTCTTGTCGCAAAGTAATTTTTACGAATTTCACGCAGACGATGATTATCGTCATTAAATATTATTCAAACTTGTATCTGACTATTTCAGTAAAGTTATGGAATGTATATTGTTTTCAATTACGTTTTAATAAAATAATATAAATTAGTGTTATTACAAACTGTATATTTAATCTATGAGAACATTTTATTATGTACTCGGTCCCTTAAAGTGCTTTCCTTTGACGTAATTTTACCGTTTATGTTGAAATTTTAAGCACATTTTTGATTGCATGTTTTATAACTGATGAACTAACATTAATTTTAGTTTGATTTATATGGAAGGAATGTATATTGGTCTCACTATGACGAGTGCTTATTTTTTTCGTCAACCATTTTTCTACTAGAAATATTATTCCAACCAAAGAATCCTCTTTTTTGTGACATTTTAGTTGGTGAATGAAAAAGTTGTACTTATTATTTTCTTTAATAATCGAGAAAAACTTCAAAATTATTAAAACCGTACATGGTTTTAATAATTTTGATGATTTTCTATTTTGGTCGTAATTCGGTTAGAAATAATCGTAGAGCTGAAATCTTCACAGAAAATTGTAAAATTGTCAACACATTCTAGTGATTCTTGAATCGAGTAAATATGCGATGCGTGACGCGATAAGGTTATAGTGGAGGTTGAGGCAATGGTGTATACAGTGATTATTAGCCATAGGGGGCAATTTGGGTGGCAGTGGCTTTGTGTGTAAAATTGTATTGAATGATAATAGATAATAAATGCACCTCGTATGGTGAGCAGCGTGTTGAGTGGTGTGACGAGGAGTTGATCGGATCGAATTTTTTTTTTAGTTTTTATTTATGTTTAAAAATTTGGGACGTCATAAGCATTACACCCGATGGTAAAGAAAAACAAAATTGAGATTAATATATTATTTTTTGTTTAATAACCGTTTAAAGTTCAAATGTTGATGAATATCGAAAAAATAACGACATTTTAAAACGTGTTCGACCGAATTTCGCTCAGAATCGATTTTGGTTCTAACAAAGATTTATCGTCGCGTAATCGCCGTATAAATAAAATAACTCTACGTATCTAAATACCTACTAAACTTACCAACAGCGGCACGCCAGTCAGCAGTGTCGGCTCTTTATTTGTTTTACATGTACACAAACATGAACGGACACCTACGAATATCACTAAAAAACTGATTCGTGCATATAATTTTTAATTTTGCAACACGCCATGGTACAGTTGCATGGTACATGGCTAAATGCATGGAGCCAATTGCGTTATCAATTTAATTTATACCCTGCAATAGTTTGAAAAATAAATCCGCGGCCAAGTATATGAAAACGCAATAATTTTGTCAGTAACCTAACTTAATCTCAAATACCTACTCTATAGTTTATATTTGTTATAATAAATAATTGCATTATCAATACGCATTGTAACAATGCGAGTACTTTACCGTTAGTTACACTTTTTATAGTTGTACATTTTCAAAGTTGAGCAAGTTAAATGTTTTTTTTTTTTTTTTTTTTTTTTTTAACTAATTTAAGTCAATACAAGAAGAAACAAATATACTAAATTTAAAATTAAATTAATTTTTAAAATACTAATTGATTAGATTAACCAAATTGAGTTGCTATTTTAAAAATGCTAATTCAGTTGTAAATACCTATTTTCGAAAATTCTATAAAAGTCATCGCGAAAAGTTATTTTTTTTTTTTTTTAAACTTATTACTGGCCTGTGGATTTGTTAATTTTAGCAATAATTTTTTTATAAATTACAATTAATTTATCGTCGAAAAATGTCAGTTAATTTGTTCTTCGGTCGTATTATTACTATTCGATATTGCTGCGAATCTTATTATTGCGCAGTTCGGTTTCGGTACGACGAATAATTAATGAAAAGTTCGTTTTAAACATGCACATTTTAACCGATGATATAGTTGGACGTCATTAACCGTTCGGGTTTGTCGGTAGTTTAACAATAATCGATTTACAGTGGGACGAACGCAAATAACAAAACGCAAACGTTCGTAACCGACATTACCGAACCGGGAAGTTTATAGCGCGCGTGGACTGTACACGAAAAGGATAATGTAATAATTTTATGTTAAACGGATGATCGCGCCGGTAATATTGTAGCCTGCAGTCGGCATTACACAATTTACGGTCAAACGCGTTTCGTGTCCTGTAAGAGAATATCGGAAAAGGAAAGTGAATGACCGGTTCTGTCTGTTTCCGATGGGCGAAAGTAGCGCGGGCAATGAAAATTCCGCCGCGCGTATGGTTCACTTATGTAACGCGGTAATTGACATACGTAATAGTTACATAGATGGTTGTGTGTGTATATGTGCGTGTGTGTGCGTGTGTGTGCGTGTGTGTGTGTGTGTGTGTGTAAAAGTATTACGTGTAATAAGGCCATAAGCCATAGTTGTATAACCGGTGTTTTACGCGCGGTACCAACTTTTTCACGGTCAAACTCAAAACGTCCGTTTTTAATTTACAGGTACCGGCACGCTGCAGAATGTGGATACTCGCACTAGTACTGTTCAGCGTTATGGTGGCGCTCCTGTCCTATTTGGACATGAGAAAACCGAAAAACTACCCGCCAGGTATATTTTCGCCGATCGTATACAATATGTATAATATAATATGTACCGAACTGTCAAAATATTACGCGTTTAAATGTATATATTTTAGATTCTGAGCGGAGCGAGTGTATGTGTATCGGTTTTACAATGATGTTTCATTTTTTTTTTTTTATTATTATTATTATTATTTTTTTTAATCTGTGGACAACTTTTCTACCAGCAATTTTGCTCCGGTTCACAATCATAGCACTATTTCTGAATGGAAATCCGACTGGGGTGGCACTTCAGGGAGGCGGTTTTTCGATTTTCCCAGGAGTTTTCCCAAAAAAAATGGAAAAAAACGTGAGAAAACCGGGAAAAAATATGTGGGGAAAACGGGAATATAGGTACAATATTAAACAAATATTATTAAAGAAAATATTCAATGCATATGAAATTATTTTATCATAATATGACACATAAATTGTTGACAAAGCAACACTATCAACCGCGATTCCGCTCAGAATCGGTTTTTCGTTAGCAATGGTTAATCGTTGCTTACAGATTTACAGATGTACATTAAACTCCCGTCTTTATCCTACCTTTCCAACTTACCACCTGCAACAGTGGCTCCACCCGTCCTCATTATCCTAGGACAGCTTTTTAAGTAATATGAGTACAACGATTACATTGATTTAGGTCCGAAATGGTTGCCGGTTTTGGGAAGCGCTCTCACTGTTAACTCGCTTCGGAAACAAACCGGGTACTTGTACCGTGCTACTATTTGTCTAGCCGATTCGTACGGTCCAATTATCGGTTTGAAAGTTGGAAAAGATAGACAAGTAGTGTGTTGTGGGTATAATGCCGTCAAAGAAATGTTGACGAAAGAAGAGTTTGACGGACGTCCACAGGGACCATTTTACGAAACCCGAACGTGGGGCACCCGAAGAGGTATGTATCGGACTACTTAAAGACAAATGAAATTCACCCGTTTCCTATTGGTATTTAACAAACGTTTTAATATGATTATTGTAGGTCTTCTACTGACGGACGAAGAATTTTGGGTGGAACAAAGAAGATTCGTATTGCGTCATTTGCGTGAATTCGGGTTCGGTAAAAGAACAATGGCTGAGCTTGTACAAGAAGAAGCTGTCCAATTGGTCAATAATTTTAATGAACAAATTGCCAAGTCTAAAGACGGCAAAGGTGAAATATTTGCTATGAGGGATGCTTTCAGTGTAGGCGTCTTAAATACTCTGTGGTCAATGATGGCAAGTAAACGATACGACGCAGACGACAAAGAATTAAAAGATCTACAGGCACTATTAACTGAACTTTTTGCTAACATCGACATGGTGGGTGCTTTGTTTAGTCAATTCCCATTTTTAAGATACATAGCTCCTGAAGCGTCCGGGTATAAATCGTTTGTTGATATCCATCAACAAGTGTGGAAGTTTCTAAAAGCAGAACTTGACAATCACAAAGAAACGTTTATTTTAAATGAGCCCAGAGATTTAATGGACGTTTATTTACAAATGTTACATTCTCCAGACAAAAAAGATAGTTACTCAGGTACCTACAGACGTTCACAATTCAATCTTAATCGGTTCATATTTGTACAAAATTGTTTTAATAATTAAATCGGTTTCAGAATCTCAGCTATTAGCTATCTGCATGGATATGTTTATGGCTGGATCTGAGACTACAAGCAAATCTTTAGGATTCGGTTTTCTGTACCTGCTTCTAAACCCAGAAGTTCAGAAGAAGGCTCAGGAAGAAATCGATAGAGTTGTTGGTCGAGACCGACTTCCGACCTTGAACGATAGGCCTAAGTAAATACTTGAATTATATAATAATTATTATTATCACAACTATTGTGAATATTAATATGCGTAAACCTACTCTCTCGATTTCAGTATGCCTTATCTAGAAGCACTTGTATTGGAGTCTGTCAGAGTATTTATGGGAAGAACTTTCAGCATTCCGCACAGAGCTTTAAAAGACACCACATTACAGGGCTACCATATTCCTAAAGTGTGACGATCGCGCTTAAATTACATTTGGATTATAAATAAAAAGGTTTTTTTTTTTTCTTAGGATACAATGGTAATCGCTAATTTCGCCGCTTTACTCAACGATGACGACGTTTGGGAGAGTCCGGACAGATTTTGGCCAGAAAGATTTATCGGCTGTGACGGAAAACTAGTAGTTCCGGACGAATACCTGCCGTTTGGATATGGTAATAAAAAAAATTTGATTTTTTTTTTAAATATTTTTAACACAAAATTCAAAAAAAATATTATATAATATTATATACCTGTTTAAACGTTTTTTTTTTTTTTTTTTTTTTTTTTTTTAGGAAAACACCGTTGTATGGGACAAACTCTCGCTAGATCAAATATATTTTTGTTTTCCGCTTGTCTATTACAAAACTTCGATTTCTCAGTGCCCGAAGGTCAAGCACCGCCGAGCACATTGGGCGTTGACGGAGTTACACCTTCGCCCGGCGAATTCAGTGCTTACGTTAGCGTCCGACCGAAATACTAAGATAATACGTTTTAATTCAAAATGTACGACCTTACTGACTTAACGTTTAAATTATATGTTATATACAAAAAAGTGCGAAATTCAGAATTAGGTTTTTTGCTCTGTGTATTAATAATAATAGATTAATAGATATAAGTATAATGTGTAAACGTATTATAGCATAGGTAGGCCGGTATCTACAATAATTAGATACTATAACATTTTATACCTACTGTTGTATGGTTAAACGACTGAATAATTCTACAGCCAGACAATAATTGTCCGATTATAAAATCGTATGTTATTTGTATAATACTATTAAAATATAATTGTAATTTGTAATATTCGTAACTATAAAAATAAAAAAAAACTGCCTATTTTACAATAGTAATATAATACCTACATTTTAATTTATTTTATACAAAATATATCCATATGACATGTTGTCCTTGTTTGATATGCCCTGTATGTCGAACCAAATACGAATGGTTGGTCGAACTACATATCATGTACAATTTCAAAGAGGAGGGGAGACAAGACAATAAAGAAAAATGTTCAATATGTTAGCTAATTATTGGACGTTTAAATTACAATTATTGGTTTGTATTATTTTTTCAAAGGGGTCAAGTGTTCCATTTTGTCTCCAAACGACGCCCGTGCATCGTATTATACACAATATTAACTAAAACTAAGTATAAATATTGACTTTGACACAGATCATTTTATTTTTCCATTTTCCTGTTAATTCGTTTTACGGGTTCGTACTTTTTTCGAAGTTGATCAATAGTTTTAATTTTACGTTAACATTAAAGTAACTATCGAGGGTTTATTAAATGGACGATTAAATGCTATGAAGATAATATACTAGCTACATTACCTATGTGTCCTATGTAATAATAATGAACAATTTTTTTTTTTTCATGACAGAAATGTCATATTACCAACCTGTTACCAATTATTGGTATCTACGACTTTACCTATTAATTATTACAGGTATATAAAAAGTTGTGTTTCTATACAATGAAAACTCAATTATGTAAGTTAATTAATCAATACACAGCTAATCTCTTATTTTAAATAAATAGTTAATGATAATGATGCTATTGATAATTGAATTATTTTATGTAGGTACCATTAAGTTGAGACAAGATATTGACAGTTACAGTTTTTTAGAGGAAACACTAACACCATTTAAGGGGTCACGTATAGGCAATTGTAATGACATTTTTAAAACATGAATAATATTCATTCGACTAAAAAGTATTCAAATTCATGTTCATATAAATTTACTAAAGGATCTCTTTTCACAAGTATTGTGTGATCATGAAATTTAATCAAAAATATCTTGAAAGAAAAATGTACTTTTCATAGTGTTAGTAGAAGTATTACTTGCCTATATTGGAAAATAATATACAATTGATTTTCAATTTACTTATATGATATATAATCAAGTTAGGAAAGCATTCTATGAGCGTTTTCTATGAATGATAAGTTCTAAGTTGTTGAACATATTTTAAAATTAACAATTTTATTAACATCAAGCTAAAATTTAGGATTCAATTTTAATATTTTAGTTTTTGAGTGTAACGAGGGATCTATTGATTATACTATATTATGTAATTTTATATTTTTTCTGTTTGTAAACACCTTTTTTTCTAGAAATATTGCTCTAATCAAAATTTGACAAGAAATCTTTTTTGTTTCATTTTGGCTCTGGTACTTTATAATGATCATTTATTAAAATTCTCATTATTATTTGAGATGAGGAAAAACTGGTTTCATAGGTTAAAAAAGACTAGCAGATAATAATAATGTTGTCACTTGTAACAGTTTTTACTTATTTTTTGTTATTATTAAGTTTTTATTACTTTAATGTTTTTTTCAGCAATCATTTAAATCAATAAAAGTAAACAAAATCCGTAAATATATGAACACAACATATTGAGGTCTCTAAACTTATGTTTAAAAACCTAAACAAATCAGAAAAGTTCATTCTACTAGCAAGTTAAATTTCCATTTTCCAAACATATTTTAAACAATAAACTATAGTACACATTTATATTCAAATTATTATATATAATAATGTAAAAATAATTTTACAAATATTACGAATAATATATATTATTTCCTTGTCAACCAAATCATCAAACGTAACTATGTACTGGAAACAACAGGGATATAAGGTGTCTAGACCTATGTTAAGAAACATAAAAGTGACATTTATTTGCAATTAAAAAAAGGTGATTTATGTTTAAAATTGGCATTTTGCTAAATGGTATAAGGATATGTTATTACCTAGATAAAGTTTCTATTAATTTTTTTCATATGCTTTTTTACGCTAAATCATACTCATTTCTTCGATATAGAATTTTTAAGTTTTAAAACGCTCACACTGACATTCTATAACTTGTCTGTCTACTAAATTAGATTGTACCAAAATTAACCAAACCAAGAAAAATACTCCATTTATTTGCATATTAAATACAAATTTTAAATATAAAATATTCTACACCTCCCTGTTAAAGTATTAGTTGTTAATCAAGTCTAATTGTTTCTAGTTAATATAATATTTTTAAAAGATAACATTTTTGGGATACATAGTAGCTTTTTTTCATAAAATGAATGTTTACACACATAAGTATATATCTGTTAAAATATGTTAGTAAATAATACTTATTGTATAGTTCTTTTTAATGTTATCGTTACATTCAAATTTAAAATAAGATATAGTACTCAATTTAAAAGTGATGTTTTATATCTAGTATCTGTGATTTGTTCATTGATATGATAAATTGTTTGACTTTCAAATTAGTACTGAAGGTATTTAAAAAAATTAATTGTTAATTACAAATTGCAATAGTTTGGTTTAAGTAATTTAATTGAGAATACAATTTGTATCGATTTACAATAATTACAAAATTAAATTATTTATATAATACATATAGAAGAGTAAAATATTTTTTTATTTAATTTTAAATCTTTATTTTTACTTATGTAGTCAGTCAAAATGAATTTAAAGTTTGAAAAAAATCAATTTTAATTATCATTTTTATCTTTGTTTAACTTTTAAAAATTAACTGGAGTCCTGGTTGGAATCTAGTTCTTTTAAAATTAATATCAATATAAAATGTTGACTAAATTAAAACAATTACATATTATTAACAAACTACTTATATTTCCTAGATCGAAAAAAAAAAATGAAATGAAATAAAGAAATACAATTTTTATCTTGGAACAGAATATGGTTGTTCTTCTTCGGTTTCTTGATACTTGATGTAGCTATCCTTGTGACTGAAATCTTTTTTGTCTTCTTGCCAACCTCTCGCGGGAGCATTTTTATAATTGAATCGTTCTTTAGTTTGACCATAAATTTGATCAACCTCCTCTATATCATCTCTAGATAAATAAAAATAATAAGTATAATAAGTATTATGATATAACCATTTATGCTATGGTTTTATGAACACATTGATTTTTAAATAATAACAATATAACTTGTTACGATGTACAAATAAACAATTTTATGAAAAGTAATAAGTGGCAAATATTAAACCAAATTGTTAGTAAACAAAATATTATAATAAATCAAATAATTGATGTTACCTATACTTTATTTTGGACATTTTTCATAGTTTTATGATTTTTATTGTTAAAACAATAATGAGAATAATTGATACTTAATAGAAAAATTAATACCTAAATGCAAATTCATCACACTAATATACAATTAAATCAATATTAAAGAATTTTAATAATAAAACTTCAATAAATTATAAAAAGTAAAAATTCTAAATTAATGTTTTATATTTTATGTATATACAATTTACATCTAATATTACTCACAGGTTTGTACTATTATTTGAAATCATTTCTTTTTTTTTAACAATTTTATAATATTAAATTTAAAGTAGTATTTATGATTTCCCTAGATACTCGTACTATTTGTTTTTGAAATGTCTTAAATTAATTCACTTTTTTTATCATAATATAAACAATAGTATAAACATGCTGTTTTATTTCTAATACATAAAATATCTTATTAATTTTAAAAAATCAAACCGATTTAAATAGAGCTTAAAAAAAATTGCAAAAACAAATTATAGAAGAGTGAATTTATCTTGCTAGTATAAACCACATACAAATTTCAATTTTGCAATAGATGATAATATTTTGTTAAACAAACCTGTAACAAACGGTACCGCATCGAAGTGCAGCTACTTTTTTATTAGTTATAGGATCTGTTATATCACCCAATGGATAAATTACTTTAAGCACTTCATGAGTAATATGTATAGTTAATTTTTCTGGAAGTTCTTTGATAAGCACCACATCCCCAGACTTACACTGTTGTTCTGGATCATGAGCATAATAAACTTCATCTTTATTGAAATACTGAACAAAAGAAGAAGAAAATTATTATACAATTTATAAAAAAAAATTACAAGACTAAAATTAAATCAAAATATAAGAGTGATATAGTCTAATATAAGTCACCATTAAAAGATTTTCATCCAGTTCTAATTTCTTAACAATAATTTTTGATGCGTTTTTTTTGACCGACGGAACACATCGTCCCAAAAGTAATAAAGATTTAGCAGCAGTGGATAAATTCATGGTTTTGAAAAAAATTATCAATTATTAACAAAAAAAACTACAAATACATAGGTACATTAAAACATTTATAATAGAATAATGTGCTACATACAAAAAATTACAAATAATAATTATTGTTATCACGATATTATCTATGCCGACTTACTGTTGTTATTATCATAGAACATTATTAATATGATTAACGTACTGATAAGTGATAACTGATAATTATGATCACAGTCAAGATATTATTTTATTTTACCGTTAGATAGCGGTAGTTAAATCATACATAGCCACCAGAAAAGGTCACTGTTAATAATTTATTCTATATGTACCTACGTTCATTTTTTTAATATTTATGTATAACTTCAATCAGGACCAGATTAGTCCGGTGAATTACCGAGTAAAATTCGGTAGGCCGCGACAATTTTTGGCTATTCAAGTCATGAATGGCTGCTGTCCGAAAATATTTTAAGAGTTAAAAGTCGAAGAAATAGACTGTAAATGTTGGACTTGCACAGACATAAACATGGTTATAGATTGTTGATATTAAATATGACCCATTTCTAACTCAATAGATCTTAACCCCGTCCACACTATGTAGTACCTATTAAGTATTTTAAATGTATTATCTACCTATTGTCAAAAGTGTTGAAATGTTATCAAATATCAATCCTAGTGGATTAAACCATGGCTATTGTAAAATAACCCAAAACTTTTTTCAAATTTCTTCCCGTTTCCCTTTTCATTAAACTAAAGTCAAATTTCCCCTGTAAATAGGAAATTTCCTTCGATATAACTAATACTATTAGGTTAGTATAGGTATGTCTTGGTTTTAAAATATTTATTATTTTTTTTTGAAACTACAAAATTTTTACCAGAAATCTTGTTCCGATGTAGCTCTGAGTGTAGCACCTTCTCTGAAAGGAAATTTTATCTATTTGGTACTTAAGGGAGGTAATTTTTTTGATTTCCGGTTTTCATAACAATTGCGTAAAAACGTAGGGATAAATGGACAAATATTTATAACGCAACGATTTCATGATTTTTGAAACTTATTCTTTCTACTAGAAATATTTCTTCAATCAAAAAATGACTAGGGGCCTTTTTTGTTACATTTTTTATTTAGTTGCTTACGAAGAAAGTCATCAAAGTTTGATTTGTAGTTTTCATAACTAGAAAAACAGGAAAAAACTTAAAATGAAAACTAACAAATTTACGGCGTTGCGATTTCTTTATTATAAATTTTAACGTTTTATGTTTTCTATCAAAAATATTGCACCGATAAAAAAAAAACGACACGAGATCATTATTGTTGTAGTATTTTCATTCTAGGTGGTGAGTAATAAAGTTGTTTTGTCATGTATAACCGACTTTGTTCAAAATAGATTTTCATTAACGATTTATCGTTGAATAGATACCGGATATAAATTTAATCATTTTATTTATTCTACCTTCCTAACTTTTTTTTTTGGTATCGGATTTTCTTTCTAGTTTTCGAGATTTTTTTTCCACAAAATTGTTATTCTGCGATAAGTCAATCGCACATACATATACATAGAGAGTGTATTAAATGATGTAAGTAATTAAATAAACACTATAATTATCTCAATTTGGCCGTAAGTAGTAATTCAACATAAGCGATAAATTTATAAATATATCAATAAATCACACAAAACTACCAGAGACCAGGTATATACAGTAGGTAATAAAGAATATGTGAACCCCGTATAGACAGATCTTAAGCCTACATCTCTTATTAAAACAAAAAAGGTATCAGTCTAACTGTTTTAACTTTTAATCTAATCAACTTGAGCCAGTAAATATTAACTTTTTTATGGGCGATGAAAATAAATTGATACATTCTGAAATGCAAAATATTCGAAAAAACAATAGCAGCTTAATAAATCAAATTTTATTTTAAGAAAACATGTGAAATTTTAATTTTTTTCAATTAGAATTTATAATGTATTATGCTTAATATTACTTTAAAGTTCATTTAAATAAAATATAAGATTGATTTTGTTAAAAATGAAAGTTGAATTATTTTGATTCAAGTTAGATATATTATATAATTACTATTTTAGTTTAAATATCGTTTATAGATAGTAAATAAACGAAAAAAAGTAAAATCTGAATTATACTTTTCATTGAAGTTTTCTGTTGTTTTTAAATATCTGATGGTATTATTTTTAAATTATATTTTATTTATAAATAGATATCTTATAAATTTTGGTATAAGTACGTACATAGAACATATCTTATACACATAGAATTTTTTAAGGTTAAAATTTCAGTTACACTAAAGTTTGAGACGTTTGACAAACCACCTTAGTAAAACTTCTATAATAAAATAAAGAAAATTGGTTCAATAATCTATTCGCATCACGAGGATGGTATACAGCAGTAATAAATAACTACAGGAATAAAATAAAAAAACACAATTTAATGAGCCATCGGAAAGGAAAGAAAAAAAATTGTATAATTCGTCAATTCCTTTAAGAATTGAGACGACGCTTTGTCAATAATAAATCGAGAAGTTAGAATTGATAATAAATACATTGAATTGATAATGGGTAAATTGAAAAAAAATAAATTAATAATAGTAATAATACTGATATAATTAAAATAATTCAATAACGTAATTTTCTAACAGAGGTATAAACTCTGCCTATTATGTTATTGGCGGGATTGACGAGAGCAGCGTTGCCATTGGTAGCGGACGCCAGACCGTGGCTTGTTACTGCTGTTGTTCTTTAGTCGACCGTACGGGAGTTCTGTCTGTACGCGGAATCGTGGCGTTTCCATTTCTACGTCGGAATTGTGGCGTTTTGTCCAGGCGCAGTTCTCAAAAGTACCTAACCTATACGAACGGCGGTCGAGTTAAGTTTAGTCGATACACAGAAACAAAAAAAAAAAAACTCGACAAATAATATATATGTATAATAATAATCAATACCGTACCTTTTTTCGTCGACGATCGTCCATGATTTCGATAATCGGTATTTTCAGAATTTTTCTGTACGCCGTATGTGCTTCAGGTCTGGTTGAACGGATTTTCTCCGCCCGGACTGACGTTACTGCGGATCGCAAAAACAAAACCGGCTAAAAACGGTTAAAAAAGTTTATGAAATCGCGAAAGCCGATAAACTATTTACGTATCGGATTCCAGAGCTTTTCCCTGTTCCGGAATCGTGACGCTCTTGGTCCATTTAAAAGGGTTAGACCGGAACGATCGGCAATATTTATTTCATATTGTGGTAAAATAATTAAATAGGCATCATACATTTTCTTAAAATAATATTTGTTTAATACACTGATTTTCCCGTTTTTCCCGGTTTCCCCACGTTTTTTCCTGGTTTTTCACATTTGCTGGGAAAAATTTTCAGAAAATCGAAAAATAATATTCCTCTTAAAGTATCTTCCCTGTTAGATTTCCATTCAGAAAAAGTGCCTATCATTGTAAATCGGAGCAAAATTGCTGGTAGAAAAGTTGTTCGCAGGAAAATAAAAAAATGCCGAAATATTTTTCAGCTATTTCCTACGTTTCGTACATTTTCCCGGTTTTCCTCCGTGTTTTTCCCATTTGTTGATAAAATTCCGTTTATTACGAATAATGTAATTAACGGATAAAAAAAATAATCACTCACGGCAATTCTGGACGGCCGTGGCGTGAGTTCGAGCGACTTGGTGTTGTTGCCCGGTACCGGTGTGGTCGGCGCGCGGGGATAGTCTTTCTCGCAGGGCGCATCTGAAACGACAAAAATAAAAATAAAAACTTAGTTAACACATTGACGGACATTACAGTCATATCAGTAGTGTGTAAAATGTCATACTGCGGAAGCAGTAATCTTTTCAGCGGTATCAAACCATAGAAGCCAATGGACTGCCACATTACGGCAGTCTACACTGACAAATTACATAGATTTTGGATGCAGGTGTAGCACTACGAATATAATGGTAAGATTTATATTAAAAGTGTCCGTCAATGTGTTAAACTCGAAACGTGATATTTTCGGTTTGTTTGGAGACAAAAAAAAGTCGATTGCAAACAACGCGCGTTTGATCAATAAATAACAATGATAATAGGCATGCACATTTTTTTGTCAAGTGTTCAGACTATTAGCCACCATTAATTCCCGATATATTATGATATGAAGTGGACCGTAATTATTGTTTAATTGTCGTATTATCGTAATACACCGTTAATTTGCCAATAGCAATCAAATGAAAGTATCCACTCATATTACACGATTATCAAATAAAATTTATATATATTTCACTGTCACACTGTCAACATGTTTTGTTGCACACGTATAAATGAAGATTGCACTGCACCGTCGCACGGTTTTTTCTGTGTACAACATTTCTACCGGTACTTTTGCAGGAGCTAAAAGTTGGAACTTTTAATGGTAGCAATATCTCTAAGAGAAAATTTCACTAGAGAGGTACTTAGGTAAGGTCATTTTTCGATTTTCCCAAGAGTTTTCCCAGAAAATGTGAAAAACCGGGATAAAACATGGGAAAATTTGGAGAATCGATACAGCATTAAAAAAAAGTATTATTAAAGAAAATATATAAACTAGAAATCACGGTAACAACAAACGACAACAGTATAGCGTAATAATGACACGCACGCGCATCGTTTTATTCGCGAATAGACATTAAATTCTATTTTTGTACAGCGGTTACTTACTGCAAAGATTGCAGAAACCGCTCGTCCTTCGACCGATCTGCACGCGAAGTTCATGATAACCGTACGTATTCTTGAAATTTTTAGAAGGGGAACGGGCGGACGGTAAACCGCCGACATAAAACGCCGAACCCTCCCCACGTTTGTACGGACGCGCCTACGCGCCCGGTTCGGTGTATCGGATACTACGCTCTGCGAATATTTCGAATTTATTTCGATTGCATTCGTTCCGCGACGCGACGGTCAATGTAAATATTATATAAGGTGTGTATATACGCGTCCTCTCATCGACCTACAAACGAGGCGGTATTCAAACAACGAACCGAGCCGTTTGATGTTTGCCATATAATAATATACGCCGTGTATATACGTACGCACACAATGCACAATACATATAATACACAAAGATTCTCGGTTTTCTCTCTCGATTGCACCGAGCAGCAGCTCTTATATACGTTTTTTTTTTTTCGTTTCCTTTACTTTTCCAGCTCGTTTCTTTTTATTTTCGAGGCTTAGGGTCATTTGCAGCGGGAAGGGACGACGAGCGGCCGCGGCGAACGGAACCGTTTTCTATCCGTCGCCGCCGTCCCCGGCACCGCCGCCGCTGCCGCCGCCGCTGCCGCCGCCGCCGCCGCCGCGTCGTCTTCCCGTCCGCATTCCGTAAGCGCCACCCCTTATTCGCGGCGCGACACGCCCCGCGCGCCGAAGTCACGCGCAAAAATGCCTTCGCTCCCCGCGTGTGCATCGCGGTCGTCGCGTCGAGTCGCGCTCCGTTATTATCATACCGCGGCAACATCGCGGATATCCTACGGTTGTATATATGCTCGCGTCATCCCCACTGCGGGAGGTTAAGTGATACAATAATAACAATAATAACAAGAATATTCTATTATTACACCTATATCTATATCTATATTTATGTTATTATAATATTTTGATACCGGATTTCCGCGTTCGTATATTATTGTTCACGTCCCGGCTCTGAATCGAGAGGACGACGCCGCTGCCGCCGCCGCCGCCGCCAAAGACGATAGCATTTGGACACACGTCGTCGGACAAAAGGTAAGGACACGATAATAATATTCATTTCACACTTGGCTTTTGAGATGTACCTTCGATATCGAGGTAACACGCCCTGTAAGGTACGTTACCAATATTTAGCGTCGTTCACGTATGTGTCGGCCCGTTGATTTGTGTTGTTGTGATATTAATATAATACACTTTAATAAGATAATATAACGAAAAAACCCGTAGGAAGTATCGCGTGTGTGTGTGTGTGTGTGAGACTTTAGGGGACATATTCTTCCCCCTACCCTCCATCGACTTAAAAATACGACGTTCGCGAGTGTTCGTGTACGGTAATAATTTCGTTTTGAAATCGCCCGTATTCCGACAGAGTAACGAGGAGGGGGGGGGAAGCTTCGTTTAATCGAATACAAATTGGTTTTTTCTGATTAGGCTTTTAAATTCTCGTTTTAAGATTATAGGTACATTATAGAAAGAGATACTACTACTACGATGATTTATTCGTGCATCATGATTTTATTGTGTATTGCGTATCCTATTATTGAACATTTTTGGGCAGGTCCGCGTCAGTGCTCGAACATCCGTTGGAATTTGTACGGGGAGGGAATTAAATTTTGATAGCAATAACTAGTCATTTTCTTCGAAAAAACTAAAAAATTAATTCAACCTTTATTTGGAGCTCGAAAAAAAAGATGATAAAAATCTTTTAATATTTATAAAAATTATCATTCCTATACGTAGATATTTAAAATTAAACGCAGTTTACTGAATATACAATAATTTATTTGCATTCAATTTATAAATTGTATGCATAATATTAATAAGATAGGTAGGAAGTACATACATGATTTGTTCAGACAATAACATGAAGGTTTAGTCAAGATATATACATAAATATCGCAGATCTAATATGTACATACAATTAATATATAATAAACTGATGATTACAAATCTGTATGCGTACACTATTGCAGATGAGGGGAGGAGTTTTGATGATTCACAATAGACTTTTTCATTTCGGGGGAAGTAATGATAAAATAATATATTATATAACTATTAGATATTAGGTATTGGTTTTACTACAATGCGGTTTTAGATTCTGAGCAAAGTGAGGAGTATATTGGTTTTACAATGATGTTTACAATGATTATTATTATATTTTTTATCTGTAAACAACTTTTTTACTAGAAATATTATTTTAATATATTAAGTGTAGTACCTTGTCTAAAATGAAATTTTCTCTGGGTAGTATTTTAATTTGGTCATTTTTTGATTTTCCAAGCGGTATTTATATTAATTGAACAAAAACGTATAGGAAAACGTAATGTAACGAAATGTATTATTTTCAATTTTGTTTTTTGTTATAATTCAGTTAAAAATATTCGTAATTGTAAAGACTTGAAATTTTGAAAAATGAAATTTAATGTAGGATTTTTTTTCTAAAAACTTTAAATCAAATTTTGACGAAAATCGTAAATATTACGGCCTTTCAAAACATTTATAACCAAACTCTGTTCAGAATCGTTTTACTTTAGTATTGACTAATCGTTGCGTACAGATATACATTAAATCCCCTTTTTTATTTTACCTTCCCAACTTCTTATCTACAACAGTGGCCACCCATCGTGCGAAGTATGTCAGTCTTTTTTTAACGATCTATTTTTGGTATGCATCTGTAAACAATTTTTCTACCAAAAATCTTACACCAATCATAAACGTTATAGGAACTTTCTTGTAGATTTTTTGATATTGTTGGTGCATTGAGGATGGTTATTGTTGGATTATTCTTGAAGTTTTGGGAAAAACGAGAAACTTTACGACAATAAAAGTAGTTTTCTAACTAGATTAAAAAAATTAACAATTTTTGGTATAATTTTTGTTTATTTCTGGATTGCCTTGACAACAAAGGAAAACATGTAATAATATATATTCTGCTTAACATATCGAATCTAATAAATAATAATACTATGTTCTGAATGGTTTTTCGTTAGTGGTTTATCTTTGTGTGCACATATAAATTAAATTACTCTATACATCTTCCCTTCCGAATTTTTTTATTAAAACAGTGACACACCCGTCAGCAGCATCAGACTTTTTACATTTTTAATTGTTTTTGTTGTCACGACTTTATATATTTATGACCGGATATAATCTACTATATTAGGATATTGGCAAATTTTCAACATTTTTATGGGAGAGGTTCTGAAAAATCATATGTATTTTAAAGGTATCTATTGATAAGTGACCCTTTTTTGACGAAATTTTATTGAAATTACATTAGTGATTGGAATGAGTCTAGACCTTCCAAACCGGCACTGCTTACATTCCCAGTTAAAAAGAGGATAGTGAATACAAAATTCATTAAAATTCATATTGTCTACTACATAAGTATATACGGTGTTTCACGAGACCATTATTGTATGCCTATCTCAACATATATAGATCAGTAGTTCTCAATCTTTGATACTACCTATTAGACTACTTAGAGAACTTTTGCAATAGGTCTCGGACAAACTCGATTTGCTGATGAATATTTTTTTACTAATAAAAAAAAAAATGTTCACAATTGGATAATTAGTGGTTACCGGTTGGCTTGATTTATTGGTTACTTAATGAAAATTGTTCATATCTCATGAGTAAGCATTTAATAAAACGATTTAAAATTTCATTACAAACAACGGCCCGTCTATAGTATATGACGAAAACCGATCAAAAGTAGTAAATTCGTAACTGTCGCCGATTCTAAACAATTATGATGGGACATATACGAATATAGGTATATTGAATTTAAAGTATCGGCTTTAAAATTGTTGATGACTTTGATGTTAGATGTAAGTAAAAAAAATGTGTTTGCCGTATCATTACAGATATAATACAAAAATAAATTATATGTTTTGAGTTTCGAGGTTGAAAACAAATTGTTGCATTAAGAACCATTAAGTACCCTATCGATTTTATTCCAGTTTACGTAATATTATTTTTTTTTGTCACGGTTCATATAAATAGATTTTTAGAAAACAGTTAATTGTGCTGTAGTTAACCCGTATCGGTTTTACTATGACGTGTGATTTTTTCTTTCTGCAGCGAACCAATTTTGAACTAGAAGACTTGTTTCAATCGATAATTTCAGAGGAGATTTTCGTTAGAAAATTTTGTCTATAGTTGGTGCATCGTGCCGCTTAGGTTATGTTAGGTCAGAATGTGATTTTCTTCGCACTTTTCCTATAATAATGGGTGAAAATTGTCAAAAAAAAGGGGGGTTCATCGAGTACGTACAATATATTAGTACTTTCTAGTCTCGGTAAAATTTTCAAAATATATTAGTGTTTTTTTATTTCTTTCTTTTAGTTGAAAAACCTAGTAAAAAAACGTAAAAGAAAAATAACATTCAGGCGATATTTAAACTATTGATAGGCTTTTTTTATTTTCGAATTAAATATTTTTGAGCTCCTTAGCTTTTTTTGCCCCCTTTTTACGCTTATGCTCCAAATCCCTAAAATGCTCGGGAAAAAAATCAAAGGAAATGATATAAAAAAAAAATTGTATATAATACGTACAGCAAGCTTTGGAAAATAATGCAAGTGCATCGAAATCCATGTCCTAATTACGAGTACTGGAGTTTATTTTTACAAAATATGAAGAAATTTACACACATCCTCCCTCCCTTAAATCCACCACTGTATTAAAGATGTCGGCCGATTGCGTCCCGTTTTGATTTTTTTTACTCCTTACCGAGTTTCAATTTCATCCACTTTTAGGCATTCGTTTGCGTTTTTAAGTCGACTATATAATCGACAAATTAAGTGTCTATTGTGTACGTTAAAATTTCGATTGCATTCGCCGGATGTCACCGTTTTCTGCCAAATTAGAATAAACGACATTACTTTTTTCCGCCAGTTATAAATTATATCCAATTTACGTACATTGAGTTCGTTGAAAAAGGCGTTCCTTAGGACATTTATGCGATTAGAAACGGTACCAAATATGGGACTACTTATTATACTGTTATTGTTATGGGATCATATTTTAGTTTTTGTAACATTTATTTTCAAATGATACGTCGCGGTCGTGGCAGTAAAAGGTTAATTATAAATTTATTGTAAATTGATTATTGAAATACAATATTTTTATACATAAATATGAGAGTAATTTATTGACAATATTGTTTTGATTTGCGTAATTTTATTTTTATGTTTAGAATATAAAGAATGAACGAACAAAATTCGCCAACGTTCGCACAATAACTGGACGTGTTCATCGAATAGGTAGACCCGTTTTGTTTTTGGACTTGGCAATCGCACTCGTATATTCGGGCTAGATGTGCCTACAAACCTTAGGCTAACTTTTACGATACACGCAGGCGTGCCATTTTCATCTGTAGCTAGGTAAAACGTGTGTCTTGAAATGTTTTACCCCGATTTTATTTTGTAAACTTACGTATACGAAAAATGTTTACACCGAGGTGTAACCGGATAACTGGATCGGTGTATTAATATACCCGTTATCTATGCCACGGAGACAGTTCAGATGAATAGGTAATATTATATTATATTGTGTTTACATACGAACCGGATAATCTATAAACGGGTCGTCGTTTATTCCAGTCTAGCCGATTCCCACAGTCTTAATAAATAATTGTATTGTTGATATGAATATAATATATAAATAAACCCATCTTTCAAAAAAAACCCATCTTATCGACGCGAAAAGTTATTCTCTTATCCGATTGTTATTGCACTTCTGTACAATCCGATTTGGTTCTCGGTCCGCCGTCATTCATACATTTGTATCCGTCCGGAGAACGTCGCCGCATAATATTATTAGTAAGTACCTATACCTTACCATACGTTAAACATTAAGTCCGTATTATGTATTGTCAATACGTTGTGTTATAAATTGTCGCATTTTTTAATTGTCTACAGTTTAGTTAATTAATTAACGAAAAAAAAAATAAAATAGGTTACGTATTTGTATACTAAGTATTACTCGGCA